GTGTGTGTGTGTGTGTGTGTGTGTGTGTGTGTGTGTGTGAGAGAGAGAGAGAGAGCACCAACCTTGGCGAAGCTTGCTGGCGACCACCCCTGCTCCCGCTCGCTGCTGCTATGAAGGATGGCCGGCCTTGCAGTGGCCGACGATGGAGGGGGATTGAGGTCTTCCATGACGACGGCCAAGGCGTTACGACGGCGGCGCGAGACGACGTGGTGGATGCCCGAACGGACTGTCTGGCGGCCTTGCCGGGAGGTTGGCTCACCCATCGTTCAAATTCGAACGTTGGGCAAATTTTTTTTCCCGGGCCTTGGCGCGCCCGGGAAAAAAAAATTCACAGGCCCGGTTGCAATTTTCTGAGAACGCCCCCCTCTCACTTGCACCACTCCCCTCAATTTTTTTTTTCCCCTCGACCCTTGTTTTTGGCCATGCGGCGCATGTCGTGCGCGCGCTGCCTGTGCGCTGCGCTATGCGGCGCACGTGCGCAAGTGCCACGCACGACGTGCACCGCAAGTATGATCTGAACCCCTAAGAATGGAGCTATAGATTCTAAGGAATCTGAACCCCTAAGAATGGATCTATAGATTAGCCGGTGGCTAGGAACCGGACTGACGCCCGCCAAAAAGGAAAACAGCCAGGACTAGCAGCACCTGTTGAAAAGGAAAAAGAACACAGGAAAGCGGGCGTGGTTGGGAATTCATTGAATTTCATTCATTCATTCAACCAGGGCAAAACAATAGACAAAGAGAACGTGCACCCGGTCGCATGATCGTTATAGAATCTAATATAGATGTATTTGGGGCATCTTTCAGTCTTGATTCTTGATAGAGCGATAATGACCTTGCATTCTATTCAGGTTAAGACGGGAGGGTTGCGCCTTGCAAACAATGTCATGAACAGTTCATCCAAAGCAAAAAAAATGTCATGGAGCCCTTTTCTGAAAGGAACATATGCCCGGATTTGCGCTCCGCGCACACTGCAGCGGAAAATTAAGGTCGGAAAAAAAAAAAAGTAAAGTTTCGTCATTTCCTACGCCCCCCCCACCACCACCACCACCAAAAAAAAAATAAAAAATGTTCACCTCGCCGCACGAGTTCGGAAACCGGCCGCGCCCTTGGCCCGGAATTTCTTTTTAGGCCAAGGGCTGCAGAATTTCGAATTCTGCAGGCCCCTCCCCCAAAAATTTTGAAATCGCGGATCATGAAAATGGAGCTCATTCCAGTGTTCTTTTTTAGGCGGGGTGTGGTGACTGGCCTTCCCCCTCCCTTCTGCAAATCCCACACAGTGGTGGACGAATTTGCGAGAAGGGTGTAATTGCCCAATAGCGTCCTGCCCCACACTGTCTCACAGAAGTCACAAAATATGTTTGGTGAGGCCAGCCGACCACCGATATATGCTGAAGACTGGCATTCAGGTCTGCATGTCAGCAGTTACGGGATAGGATGAAGATGCCTGTAGCTCTCTCGTTTTTTCCTTATTGTTTTCTTATAGCTCTCTCGTTTTTTCCTTAATTGTTTTCTTATGAATACATAGAGTGGCCCAAGGCGCCTCTTCTCCACTACTCACCACATGCACAAAAGACATACCGTATGGCGGTGTATGGTTCCATGTTTTAGCAGAAGATTTATCTACTAATGTTATGTACATTTGGTGAGTGGTGGAGGGAGGCCCTGAGAATGACGTGGAGACACGAACAGGGTCTACCTGAATTGGTGACCCATAACTCCCGAGCTACAGACCTGAACTCGAACCCACAGCATATATTGGTGGTCTGCTCCCACTTCTTAAATATATGATGCGGCCATCCTGATTGCTGAAGCAACGGTCCTCAATGCCTCCACAATGTCCAAGCATATCGTCGGAGCCACTTGAGTTGCCTGCAGGGGGCCCTGAATTGACGTAAAGGGGCCCCTTTGGTCTCTCTCTCTCTCTCTCTCTCTCTCTCTCTCTCTCTCTCTCTCTCTCTCTCTCTCTGTGTGTGTGGCATGAATACTTTTTTTCTTTTTTTTTGTGCACTTGGTGCACCGCCCGCAGTGTGCGCACAGTGCGCACACTGTAATTCCAGTGCACTGCGCATGGTGGGCGCGCGCTGTAATTGCAGCGCACAGCGCACTGCGCACCGGCCCGTACTACACTGCGCACTGGTGCGCTGCAACTATGGAAAGGAATAGTTAATGTTTGGCCATGTCCTTAATTAGCTATTCCTTACCGAACACAGAAAAGACATGGTGTAATCTCAGGTTGCTCCCAAAAAACACTTGTCTTCAGTCAGTCACGACACCGTTCATGCAAAAAAAAAAAAAAAAAAAAAAAAAAAAAAACTTGATGGGAATCGCCACTCATTTCGTCCAGTAGGGTCTACACTGATAGTGGGCCTCTCTCGACCGGCGCAGAACAGGTGCCTCATCGTATGGCATACTGGTGTGTTGGCCCTACCTAACCCATGCCATCTAACACCGACAGGGTTAGGCCTAAACGCTGTGGCATGTCCTGGGGAGAGGGGCAAAGCTCTGATCTGAAGACAGCAGCGGAAAGGTGCAGACTCGCCATGACTTGATTCTGAAAGACGTGCATGCACCGGCCCATGCGTAGAGTACACTAGTGAGACGCACAGCATGCATGTGCATTGTGCACCTAAAATTTATAGCCGCCGCTGTCATTGGCAAACTCAGAGGCCTGCGGCTTTCTACAGTCTGGTCCCGGCATGGCTCAGGCAACCTGCAGCAGGAGGGGCGTGCCGAGTGCGCAAACTTTTGAATGCACTGATGTTGAAAATTTTCGTGCTTAGACTTTTTTTATCGGAAAACAATGTAAAATCTATATATAAAAAAAAAAGAATATGGACGTAGATCGCGTGCTGAGACAGTGCTGACCTTTCAGGGGAAAACAGTTGGAAAAGCCCTCAAAATTTCAACCCAAAAAAAAATCAAAAAGTTCTGGATGGCCCAAAAAAGAAAGTCCTCGCGGCACCAATGTTTAGGTTCAAAACTTTTAACCTTTTACGCTCGAGACTTTTAGGTTCAGCGCTTAACGGTCGGGGAAACCAACAAGTTTTACAAGCACTGGTGGCTCAAGAAAAAAGTCAAAACCATATGCTCCCCCTTGCACCTCACAGGCCAAAATGCGTTACTCTTCTCTTACCTGTCGAAGCAGGCAGGAGAAAACCGTTTTCACATTATGTGCCAAATGCATCGGCTGCAAAACGAGAACACACACACACACAGACGGGCGTCAGGCAACAACCATCGTGCATGAAGCATTCAATCATTACTACTTTGACTGTTCTCCAGGACCAGAATCCGCAAAAGAACGTTTCTGAAAAACGACTGAATGGTCGGCAACCTTTCAGGGGAATTTTCTTCAAAAAAACAAAAACGAAAAGGCCCAAAAGGGTGATTTTTTACCGTCATCCCCCCAGTGCCCCACCCCCCCCTTTCCTCCCCAGGAGGGGAATGAAGGTGCCTTTCCTGACACTCTGAACTTCTGAAGCATCATCCATACCGTTACATTCCGCCACTTGCTGCGTCTCTTTTCTCCTTTGACGTTTCCCCCC